TGTGTGGGTTGTAGAGTCCGTCTCATGCTACCACGAGTGTGAAAGCACCACCAACATTCAAAAGTGACCAAAACATCAGCCAGAAAGCATAGGTACTGAGAAGTGGTCTGTGGTCCCCACCTGCAGATATGAATACATCTCAGTGGCACAGCAATAAAATTAGCTTCAGGATAATGCAAAAAATAAAACAAAAGCCTTGTGCAATAATTTATAAAATGTTTCTAATTAATAATCTTGCAGTTTTCTACCTCATTTAAACAAAAATATAGAGCAGATCATAAAATTGAGGTAGTATAATTGCACATGTAATACATATGTAATTTACATGTGTAAAACACATCAGCAAAATATCCTAACCCATTTAATGAAGAACTACTCAAACCATGATCCTACCTCCACCACGCATGTATCTTTATTTCTTTAATCTTAATTTTACTGCACATTTCTGAATATGCTTTCAAATGTACAAGAGTGATATAGTTTGATCATTTTACTGATTTTAAATATGAAACATATTTACCTCTAGTCAGAATCTGAATTGTTTCATCTATATTTGTATAGTTGATGATTTTATCCTTTAAAATGTATTTTAGTTTTATTATTTTTATTGTGCAATTTTGTTTATTAATTTAACATAGTATAAAAATACATATCTTTTTCTTCCTCATTGTTTTTCCTCATAAATTAAAGCATTTCCTCCATCATCTTTGCTCCTGACATTTGATATTTGGTTAAGATGTTCATCATTGCATGCATGTCTGTTTGGTTTTTTTGTTTCTTTTTATTTGAGTGAATCATTTGGGTCAGGGTTTTGTTTCATAATCTGTAAAGCGTTTTGGGTTGCTTTGTTTTACAAAAAGTGCTGAATAAAAAATCTTGTTTGATTGATTGATGATTTACAGACAGTTAAGGCTCCTATGCTGAGATGCCATTGTTGTTTTCCTTTTATTGTACTTTTATCTCCTCTATTCTTCTTCTAGATTTTAGGGTGCATTTATAATTTTTTGAGAAATCTGCAAATGTCAGCAAATGCATTTGAGGAGCCGTAAAACAAAAATGTAATTTATTCATTAAAATCAGACCTAGCGAATATGATAAAAACAGTCTTTGTGTAGAAGTTACCTTGGATTCTTTTCCCTGCTCAGAATAATAGTTCTGAATAAAAACTAATTCAAAGTCTTTTCTAACAACTATTGTAGGGGTTTGCATATTTTTGCCAGTCATCGTCATGTAATACTGCATTATTTTCCTAAATAGATACATGAGCAAGTGGATTTTTTTCTCCTTTTAAATTACTTTCTCATATGTTTATGTCTTTAGGACTTTGGGTTATATGTAACAGTGTCAGTGTGAAGCATATGCATCTACTTTCTGAAGTTAATGTACCTATACAGCTCTAGTAGTGACACATTTTATCTTGAAGATGTACACCAAGTTGAGCTCATTGTGTGGTGCATGGCAGAGGTCCCTTCCCACGCACCACTGTGGCTGCACAAAGAGTCAGTGTTCAGAGACCTTACAGCGTAGCGATGCGTGACCTGATGGTGTGAAGCTGCCTGTAAAACCCACAGAAACAGGTATGGGTCACGGCCAACAGCAGACATGTTGGATGACCCTCTGCTTTCTCACTGTTTCTGTGCTGTGTTTGTGCAGGGTGGAGGTGGAGGTGGTGACGATGGTGTAGGGTGAATGTGTCTCCATAACTCTCTATTTTTGGAAACCACATGAAACAAAACAGCCATGTCCTCTGGCTCGCATGGCCCAGCAGCCATCATGGAGGCCTCTGATGGTGAGAGCGAGCATCCACAAGACTGTCCTCCCACCCTCAATTGCTAAAACACACATTCCAACATACAAATAGACTTGCCATACTTTGAGCCTCACATGTGGTATCAGTTTTAACCTTTTTTGCACTGTCAAAAACCAGAAGTTATCATCCACCAATGATGGATGCATCTGTAAACTGAAGATATATCATTAGCAATAGTTAGCAGCCTCACTGTGTTTACATTATTGATACACAGCTGTTGAGGAATGTCAAACAAGCAGCGTGGATAAATATGTTTTCCAGGTGGGGTTCTTAATCAGCAAAAAAATTGTCCCCCATCAGTTTGTGGTGCTGCACCTTAAGATCGATTGATATCCTCATTAGCCACCTAGAAACGACCGTAACCCTAAAGTGAGACCTCTGTTTGTTATTGTGCGAAAGAAACGAGTCCAGTGGGGATAAAGCTGGCTTAACTGATGAACGAATAGGAGGTAGACAACAGATGGAAAAATAAAGAGAGCAGAGAGGGAGAAAATATATAAAACTGCAAACACTGAAGGGTTAATTTCAAACTGAAGAACAAAGCAAAAGAAAGACCAGCTATCGATTACATTTACTGGCGACATGTATATGCCTGTGCCTTTAGTTGTCTGTTGCTCTACCATACATTAGATGGGGCATGTATTTCCCTGCAGACCAGACTAACATCTGGATTGCATGAGTGTTGTAGCAGACAAAGAGCATCCAAGTACATTGCAGAAGGTATTAGAGGTAATTTACTTATTAGAGAAGAAAGACTCAATCTCAGAAGCTGTGATTGTAAATGGAGTTGGAGCTTATCTGAAGGGCTATCTGCATCCCTGCAGGGGAAATAATAGTAGGCAAGTGGTGGCAGTTTAACACAAACACATGTACATCATAGCCTAAAAAAAAACATGCAACTAAACAGATACAAACACACAAGAACATGCATGCAGCGTAATCTAGCATTTCTCTATTAGATTGTTTTCCATCAGCGTTCTAAATCAGATTATGTGAGCTGCAAACCTTTCTGTCAGAAAAATAAAAACATTGATGATAAATAGTCTGTTTTAACAGTAATGACTGAGAACTTGATGAAGGTCCATTTAGTCATATAAGGAGCATATATGTTAGTTTTTGTAAAAGTCATAATTGTGTGTCTTTAGGGCCAGCTTAAGTTGCAGATTAGTGAAGTCACAAGTATGCACCACTACCGTCTGCAGAGAGTTACAGGAGAAGCATGCTTGCTGATGGACGTGTGAACTGTAAGATGGATTTCATATTTAAATCTCCCTGACCCTAAAGTAACGTTACGGGTTGTACGGACTGTTCGCTTCATGTATGATGGGACAGCAGCCTTATAAGGTTGTTTGACAAAAGGACAAACACTGTGGGGTTCCCAGTACCAGTGTGGTCGTGAGTATTTGACTGTCCTGCTGCATATTACTGCCGCCTCCTCTCAACCACTAATTATAAATGGTAAATGGACTGAACTTATATAGTGCCTTTCCAGTCATACAGACCACTCAAAGCGCTTCACACTAGAGCCACATTCACCCAATCGCACTCACTAACGCTCACACATTCATACACCGATACGCAGATCGGTAGGCATAAATCCAACCCATAGTACAAAGTGCCTCCAAAACACCCTGATAGGCTATTCCAAAACAACCAACAGGGGTGATTGTGGCTCAGTAGGAAGAGTACTTGTCTTGCAATCAGAAGGTTATGGGTTTGATTCCAACTTACCTACCTATCAGTGTATGAATGTGTGAGTGTTAGTGAATGTGGCTTTGAGTGGTCTGTATGACTGGAAAGGCATTATATAAGTTTAGTCCTGACTGGAAAGGCATTGTATAAGTTTAACATAACAGTGCATGTCAACACATATTAATTTAACAATCTCTATGTTTTTCTTTATGTTATTAATCTTCAGGTATGACAAGAAACATTTGCAGTTATTTTTTAAACAAATACAAGATTTTCACATGTTCTCTCAGGTGGGCAACATGAGTTTGCTCTTTGACATAAGTATATGAAGAACTGACAATACTATATATTGAGTGAAAATTATAAAATGGTCTAAAAACTATAAAGTGACTATACTTTGTAGCATCAATGGTTCTTGGCAAAAAGGTTATTCTATTAGAACGCCTGTTTGTTTCCCTTTATATGGTCCCACATTTGCAAGGAAAATATATTGGTAGGTATACAAAATATACTTGTAGATTTGAGCGGCAGGGTTTGAGAATGTGGGCCAGGCTGAGCCCATGAAAAACTTGTTAAATCCTCTCTGCTTCTTCTGCTATGGACTCCTATTTAGTGTCGTTTATTGAACTACGAAGTTTAAAGTAACAATACACACATAATAAAGGGTCAATGTAACAATGAATTAATTCAACAAACAGGAGCCTCAGTATTGTGTGGGAGAACTGTACATTACCACAACAGCCTGGCACCTCCCTCTTGTGCCGTTTACCAGCTGGGTCACACACTGCTGTGAGAAGGCATCCCATTCCTCAACCAGCATTTGTGTGGTAGTGTTGGTCACTCTGGCACAAGCAGCACACCTAAGAAGATGGTACAGTGTTCAGTGGTGTTAAGGTTAAGACTGTAGGCAGCACATTCCATCCTCCCCGCTCCCAAAGTTTGGAGATAGTCTCTGATAAACCCCATGCTGTGGGGTGATTATTGATATTTTGGAGGACAGAGTTGGGTCCCTAAGAGTGGATATATGGGATTGCCAGTGGTTGCAGAATCTCATCTTGGTAACTCTCTGCATTGAGATTGATTCTGATGAGCTGTGCCAAACTTGCAGGACAGTGGCACTCAAGGACTGGAGTGCAGACCCCTGCCATAAAACAACATATATACTTGTAAGGATTATGATTATTGATTAAATAATATTTTTTTAAATTATAATTAAAAATCATAATTCAGAAAAACAATTGTCTCAATTGAAAATCATTACTTACGAATAGAAATCAGGATGCACTCTGGTGTGGTGATTATGGGCTCAAAGCACTTAATAATTACAATTAGTTAATTGTCATTAATGATTAATAATTATTATTCATTATTATTCATTATTATTATTAATTATTAACCAAAACCACGCTAAATGTCACTGTTTAATCAGCTGCTCCACAGAATGGTAGGGGACCTTTGACCTTATTTAGACAGATAAATCACTCTTGCACAAAATAAACACAACGCTTCTCTTTATAAATATAAACATTTATTGAAACTATATAGTCCTGATATAATTACTACTCTGGTCCAAAAACCTTCACCTAACTAACAAGCACTATTCTACAAAAAAAAGTAAATTGTCTACCTAAAACTGATAATAAAAAAAACGTGCGCATTGAGTGTCTATGAAGATCAAACCAGCAGTTTTATGGACAAAATGTGCAATTTGGGTTTACTTGTTAAGTGAACTCCTCCTGGTTTGCAATGTCTTGATTTTCACTGATCAGCTGGTGGAACGGTGGGCCACTAACAGCTGATCACCCCAAATCTCAAACAAAGGGTAATAAAACTCTGAGGTGGGACCTCGGTGAAAAAACTCCAGTAATAAAACTAGGACAAAGGAAAGGTCAGGCTAAGAGGCCCAGACCGCAGCTGCAGTCTACTTTGAATGAAAAACTTCTAAAAAGTCCAACTTTAACTCCTGGCTGATTTTTGATCAGCCAGACAAAACAAACACGCAGCCGCAAATTGCAGTTTACAGCACTCACACAGCAAATCAAAGAAGCTCAGCATAAAACATTTCAATCAATATTGCATGCAACCAGTGAATACCTTGGATTAACTGCTGTTGATTTAACTATGCCTCATGCAACCCAGATCTCTAAATCCATTTAATAGGTAAAAAGAACTAAATTACTCTGACGTGGATTTCTTCTTTTCTCCGGCTTGAAGTAGGTCTGAAGAAAAAACAAGGGGCGGGGGGCTGGAGCATCACGAGTCCGGGATCACTCAAAACGGTCAGCTTCTCCTCCGTCCAGAACGGGGAAAATATGAGGAACCGTTGTAGTCAACTGAACAACACAAGGAGGAAAACCCGTCTCCTTGGAAACACCTCTGTGGGTTTTTCACCTGCGCCAGAGTGTCAGCGGGGTCTTCGATTGGTTTATGAATCTTCTGACCTTCTTGTATCAGACAGAATTCCAGCTTTGAAACTCTTCCGGGAATGGGCATATGGAGGAAAAGTTAACTCACCTGCAATCTTCTGTCTCTCTAGATTTGCGCCTCAGTTGCATCGTCCCATGAGACACGTTGGAAATGGCAATATAAGTTTGGTTTTCACGGGTTTAATAACTGTGGTGACGTCAGAGCTGCAACGCGTGTTGAGCTGCAGCGTCGTTGGGCTGCAATGCATTTGCAATGCATGCTGGGAGGTGTAGTAACAGACGATGGTCCAACATACAAGCAGAACATAAACAAGTTGTAACATGGTTATCTCATGCACTTTGTTTGGTCTAAAACATTCTCCATCACCAATACTGTTAAACAATAAAAGATGATTATCATGATATCAAAAAGTTCTTCCGATGAAATCTTTACATTGTTTTGTTCTACTCTCATGGCTGTGGCCACATAAAATGCTTAAGCTGTTTGGTCAAGCTAATTCTACTGCTGGGTGATGTGGGATCGCAGACAGAGGAGAAGTTTGCTGTTTTTAAAGAGCCCAACTTAGAATATAATACTTACAAGGTCAAATAATAGAAAATAGGTAGGCATGTTTTAACTTAATTAACCCTAGGTAGGGTAATATTATGCTGTAACTATAACAACAGGCTTTGTGTTAGTTTTATTATATTCTGCATCAACAAATCCCTTCACTCCATGCCACGTTCTGTTTAGTCTGTTATGATGGAGCTTTCTTCTTCTTTTGTGCGTAATGTTATGTTGCGGTTCTTGTTGCCGTTGTTGTTGGTATTGTGTTTTTTACTCAGGGGCATGAAGAGATGAATCACATCTGCATTTAAGGATGATGTCAATGTTCTTGTTATCTGCTTGGGAATCTGATGACGCTTTGTGGCCCATTAGTCATCGTTAATGTGAGCCTGTTGTAAGACAGAAACATTTTTTCTTTCCTTCAAGTCCTATACAAACAACCGGTGGTTCTGCTGTGGAAGAAAACCAGGAATAAGAATGGGAAAAGTTCTGAGAAACACATGCTTGAGGTACAACCAGCCAAGTTATCACCCTTGAATCTATATGAGCCTGCCCCTGAGCGCTCAAGCTGTTATTATTGCTCTTCTCTGAGGATCTCTAATATCCTTATTTCTAACCTTGTTTGCTTTGTTCAGTAGAGGTTTTTCTAAAATAGTCGTAAAGACATTGAAATGACTTAGAACTCACAAAATACCCCCACATCATCTGCTCTTCATCTTCAACTCCCACATATTTATGTAGGTGATAAAGAAAGCAGAATGCAGGAGTAATTTCAACACATATTATTATTATATTCCTAATATAAAAAACATCTTTTTTTCATTTTGGAAAGCTTCAATTAACATTTATTATTGTATCTATTTCTAGAGTGCCTGTCTAATAGAGACTCACATTGATGTGAAAGCGGAACATTAAATGTTTCAGATCCTAAAACACATTTTAAATATAGTCAAAGGTAATCTGAGTTAACACAAAAATATGTTTTATATAATGTGATTTTATTTCTTGATGGAAAATGGCATCCAAACCAGCCTGACCCTCTGTGAGATGTAATCAGTCCTTGTTCAGTAATAATTTAACTGTGATTTACAGCATTTTTGGGAAACTTCACTAGCCATACCTAGGCTTGATTACTACCAGAGCTGTAAAATCAGAAAACCAATAGGAACATGTAGACAAAAAGAATCTTGAAAAGCAACAAATAATGCCCTGATCTAAAGAAATCCAAGAATAGATGAGAGTGCTTGACATCTGTCTGGTAAGGATTGCATATTTATTTTTTAAGAGTGTAAGACTCCAGAAAACGACAGTGAGAACCATTCTCCACAAACCGTAGAACAGTGGTGAACATTCCCAGGAGTGTCCTGCTTGCCAAAATTACTCCAAGAGTGCACCCAGCAGGTCATAAATGAAGCTAGAACATCAGAAGCATCGAAGGCCTCACTTGCCTCATTTAAAGTCACAGTTCATGCTTCAACAATAAGAAACAGACTGGGCAAAATGGCATGAACTTAAAAAGACTGTTCAACCTGAGATATCCTCCAATGTGGCTGCATTAAACAATTCTGCAAAGAAGATAGAGTCAAAATTCACACACAATAGATAGTAGTGTTTGCTGCCAAGGGTGGTACAACCAGTTGGGGAGCAAATACTTTTTCACATAGGGGCCAGGTTGCTTTGGATAGCTTGTTATCCTTAACATATGAAATTATCATTTTGAAAACTATTTTGTTTTTCCTCAGGTCTTTGTTTTATATTCAAATTTGTTTGATGATATGAAACATGTACAAAATATCAAAAACAGAAGAAATCTGTAAAATGACAAATACTTTTTCACAGGACTGTAAATGTGGCAGGCCTCACTCTCCACAACACCCTCAATTCACCTTTGCTCTTTGGAGAGGTGGTCATTAGTGCAAGTGAGCAAAGATCTGTTGATGTGTTTGTGTGTTTGGGGAGGCAGGGAGGCCTGTTAAGTCAGGGAAGAGAGTTTTTGGCACCCTGTGCATTGATTGATGAACTGAATTGGGTGGGCCAAGGCTCACCGAAAGGAGGAGGAGTGTGTGTGGGT